ATAACGGTACAACCGTAGTGCAGATATGTTTGTCTAAATCTCGAGGCACAATGAGAATGAGTAAATAAGTTGTAAATTGCAGGTAAACAGAAATTGAGTATTCTTTCGATTAGTTTGACTGAATATCGAAATACGAACGTCAATGCTACGTAAACTCCGCTCCTCTCGTATCACTATATATTGAATTTCCGTGCGTCAATGGCCCATGTATTTCTATGCAGAAATAATAGGCGCGTGACTAAAATGGTCACGCTGTGCGAATTGACAATTCTTAACACCTCCACAGGGCGTACTTGACTCGCGACAACCTACTCCAAATATTAGCATACGAGCGATTCCACCGAACGTTCTTGCCGGCTGGGCTCTTTACCTTTGCGCTTTTCGTTCGCGCATGCGCATTTGCAATGTGGTTCCTTCAGGTCTCCGACGTCCCACGGGAAATTTTAAGTGTGGGATATGGTTACCGGCTGAGAGAGTAGGTGATCGTTCAGTATAGTCAACGTATGCGTATGCATATTTGGCGATGTTCGAGCGCATATAAGATAGTGGGAGTAAAGTAATGTTAATTCATTAAAATGATAAATTAATTAATAGAATTTTAGTTTGATATGCCATAGCAAGTGAATCGAAAATATATTCACTTCCCGTCTCTCTGGGGCATCAATTGTCAATGGCTCTCCATACACCTGTTGATGGCTTTAATGATTTTACATTATGTCGAGCGAATCCCACATTTATGTATCACGAATGAGTATCACCCACACGTCCTGATTCCTGTTAAGGAGCGAAACAGTGATATGGTCTGGGTGAAATATCGAACTCTCGAGAAATAAAGTCAAGTCCCGAGTCTCCTTATGCCTACGCGTCCCGACGACCTACTTACTTCATATTTCTTGCATCAAGAGAAATAAGAAAAGCTCAGTAGGCGCTCGCACAAGTGTCCAGTCGCGCATCCCACGATTTGTCATCTAATTAGACGATCGGTAAGTCCGATGACTTTTTTTCGGAGTTGGACGTGTTCTGGATTTTTTTGTCTTCATTGGAATTTAATGAATTCGGTCAAGGATACGATAGGGTCTCTCGTGGCTAGTACGTGTCTCCGTATATCGCATGTGGAATCTTCTAGGAAGACAAAATATTTCCACGTAACGACGTTCGTGGCTAAATAAAGCTAAGTAATTTCCAATCATCCCAAACCTTCCTCGTTTTTTCGTCGGAATTGAACTTCGAATGCAGTTTGAGAATCGATTGAAGTCGCTTTGGAAAGGAACCCTTACACGTGATATGGTCATGTATACATATACGTATTGGTACCTACAACCTGAAATATAAAGAACTGGCAGCTGTTGCGATCGAGTCAATATTTGATACAGCGGCGCTGCTCCTTGATTCTTCTTCTTGACTCCATTTTACGAGGGGCGAGGGTCCCACCCTGATCGAGAACCCGAGGCTCTCGTCACCGCGCATTCCTCCCGCTTTTTATCACGATCGAGAACCTCGGGCATATTGCGCGCGACGCACGGCAACAACGTCACGAGAGTAGCGTTCCTTATTCGTGGACGTGGGAACGCGAAATGAACCAGACTGACAATAGACTATGAAAAGAATCGCGTCACCAAAATCGAACGCCGATTCGCGAAAATGTATTCCTTCTACGTATTTCGATCTCTGCGAGAGGTCTAATAGCTTCAGCCTCCCTACCGCATATTACCCACTTGAAATACTCGTACCGATCATTCAAAATGATCAAGATAATTTTATCTTATCGAGTTACTAATTATTTCTTAAATATCAGCCCCTCTTGAAATACCAAATTTTTTCACTTAATCAAACAAAAATAATCGATCGCAAGTGTAATCCATACTTTCACAGTGTACTATGCATATACGTATATAAGTATCCGATAAAAAGGAAGGAGTCTTTTGGACTAAGATCGGCGATCGCTCCTTATACGATCTGGTAGCCCTCTCTTGGGGCTTAGCAATCCCACGACCCGGCCACGCGCTCCCAGGAAGACATGGTGGGGTTTTGAAGAACAAGCCGACCATCACGATTCGAGAATGTATTCTCGGCGTCGCGATGCTCTGTTTGTTCGTGTGGGACGGGAGAAAGAGAAAGAGAGAGAAAGCAAGGGAGAGGTAGGAACAGAAAGACTCAAGAAGACGGCTTCTTGCGTTGCATGTTTGTTGTTGGATGCTGGATGTTGGATGTTGAATCCGCCGCGTGATTGACGGACGTGAAGGGGTTTCGTTTGGATTCTGAGCTGATCCGATCTTATCTGTCCCTGCGTACTTTTCGAAGTGTGCTTGTATAAGGGGTGTATCCGTGTATTACATTTTCGAGGTATAATTTAAGAAATCCACTATACATAAACTGGTCACGTGTTGTAGAAATAAATTAAGTCTACCAGTCAGAGATAATCCGATCTTGATAAGCGCGAATGTGAAAAAAAATAAAAATAAATCTTAAAAAAATATTATTCCCGTATCGAATTCTCGGTGCTACCGATCGTTTCGGAGAATGATCGTTTCATCAGGCACGTGCTGACATAGAAATCGTCAGCAGGTTGGTCATTGATAGCGATTCTCTGATAATCATTTTAATTGATACGGCTCAAGGACTTCATTGAGTGGTTCGCCACGCATGTGAACTGTAACAATAATATATCTATATCGATATTTGAGACGTATACATACGGCTCTATTAGTATCGTGATATTGCGACTTTAATATAATCCATAAGAAAGCCGTCGGAAACGCATTTTATGCGAAACTGATAATAAGACTTGAACGTGACTACCCGGTGACACTTAAACACCACTCGCTGAATGTCCATCATTCAGGATATATGATGATTGCAATGATAATGGGTGTTTGTACTCCAATGACGTTACGTAATACGGCAATGTTAAAGTTTTCGGAAAACATAATGAAGCGGGTATACAATTTTGGTTAATAACGTTAAATCTGTTACGCGTTGGCAAACGTAATTTTCTTTGTCTCTATGTATGATTTATTTCTCACGGATGATTCGTATTCCTTCGATGCATTATGCATTGAAGTCGGCGTGGATTCTTCCAAAAGAAATTTGCGGATCATCAAAGGGTAGAACTAATCATTCTCAACCCTTACACGTTAAATGGTCATCTAAGCCATAACACCCCATTAGCGTATGTAAATATGGTGCCTCGATGGAAATCAATTACTACGTGAAAGACCGCGCGCGTCCTCCCGCATCCTTTCATGCATAGCAATGAGCGAAAAAAGCCGAACCGCGGGAGGATATCATTATACGCATCGTTTAAGTCGCAATTACATGAGAAATATGTAGATGCGTCGATCGTTTCGCCGAAAAGGTGCGAACGTGAACGATCGCTTGGTTAAAGCTTCGTCCGAATAACGGTAGCGTATAAATTTGTACAGGCTTGAAGGTTTGACAAAAATATAATGATTAGAATTTGAAAAAGTTTGATAAACGAAAATCAAACTTATATGGATTAAGTGGATTTTATCAGCACTGTGCTTTTATATATACAGGGAACAGCGCCTCTGGTGTCTCTATTCCCAAGCTCGCTGGTAACGTGCAGTATCTTTGATCGAGGGGGTATATACGAAGTAACTTTTTCTTTGAACACACTATAGATGTTCCAGAGAAGTCCACGGGAAAAATTCATCGATGGCGGGCCCTCCTGCCGAGCCTCAAATTGAATATCTTATTGCCGATGAGAGACCGTCAGAATACGAGGTCTTAATTAGCCATAGACTTTTTACAAGAGCATTCGAACTGACGAAAGTTCGAATAAGTATACGGAATAAGACAATAATTTTTTTTAAATGCCTTATCAATAATTCATAATTATTATCACTTTGCTCACGGTCCGATCTAGTTGATATCGTTTTGGTTATGAGTCGAGTGAAAGAGAGAGAAAATTTGACTGAAAGATAAGATAAAATTTAATTTAAACTTTTTTAAAATTTAAATTTCTCGCCGTTACGCATTACGACACTGTTCGACGTATGGAACATTATACGAAATTTCCTTATACTATTTCTCCATTCATCTGGCTACATTCGCGGCAGCTCGATGATATCTGACACTTTGAGGTACGACCCCGGGCGATTATAACCGACTTTATCACATGTGCAGTGACTCCACTGTTTCACGCAAGCGCAAAGCACGCGCGTGTCACGATTCTCGAATGTCGGCAAAGTCGGGAGCAAACAACGAAATAAGAGCATCAGATAGGCCCTGGCGCTCGTGAAACAACACGGCTTCATAAATAACTCAGTTCCGCGCGTATGGGTATCTTAATACGTATACAAATGTCCCCCTTATATTTTCAAAGCTCCATGTGTGAACTCACTGGGAAATAATATCGCACCTCATAGTATCAAATAATATCAAGCTCGCACGCGTGTTATATTATTAACCCAAATTGCTCCTTGGGGCTCATGAATGGATTCACGCGCTTATCGAGTGACACCGTTTGCTGTTTCTACACAGATTACAAAATCTATTGTTGCACCTTACGCCTCGTTTATGTACGTCGTTATACGGGAGCAAATATATTTAGACGGTATACCTATGCAATTATGTACTCCTTGGTGACGTCATCGTATCATCATACGCGCATAGTTGGACGATAAAATATGGCAATGCAAGCAGAGACGGCAAATGAACTAATTGTAAGATATACCTCAATGGAGCGACGATATATGTATATATGCCAGAAATTTTATTCCAAATACATTTTTTTTATCGGCATATCTATTTTTGTTAATCGATCTGTATCATATGACTATCTGTTTATATGCCTATCGCGCTACGTACACATAAAATCGTGTGCAAAACAAAAATGGAGCTTTCGTTAAGTTTTACGATGCGACACTTTTAGGTAATTAAATTACGAGGTGTTTGCCGTGTCTAACAAGGCAATCGGCAGTGATGTCGTTGCTACGTGTGTACGATGTAGGTATATCGTGTAAATAAGAAATTTGACATTTTTCTATCATCCAAGTTAAACACGTTTATTTTTGTACATCCTATTCCGTCCTTATCATTATCATACAGGGTGAAGCATTTAAATCGAGATTGTCAAATAACTTGAGAACAAGATCTTATATAAAAAATTGTTTGAGACAAAAGTTGTATGGATATAAGGGGCCAGTGGAATGGCCTACTTAAATTAAAAGCTTTCATCAATAAAATAAAAGTAGGTCATTCCATTGGCCCCCTTATGCCCGTACAATTTCTATGTCAATTGTGACCTTAAAAATGTCATATTTTAGTCTTCTTTGTTTCGCTTCTTATCAATCGCTTTTTTCACCTTTGAACTTGCCAACTCCCCTTTATCACTGACGCCTACCCACGCTTCGTGGTATTTCCAAAATCCATCCGAGTAATACCTCTTGAATGTGGAAAGTCTTCTTTCTCTGTCTCGATCTACCTAAGCTGTAATTTTTAATAGAAAAAATACTCTCACGTCTTATGATATGAAGAGGCAGAAAAGATTTATAAAATTATCCGGCTGCTTGACCCCTTAAGACATTTTCGAGTAATGGACCGCTAGATAGGCCCCAACTTTAGTTTAGTCCCGGACAACCACCGCAGCAAATAGGTCGCACCTGCCTTTCATCTTTGCTTTATTTTTCCCAATGCAGGATGACAATGTCGTATCTCGCTCAAGGTTTATTGAACCTTACTCCTATACCTACAGGGTGAAAGTCATAATTTGGGTCTCTAACGCACGACCAATAGTAAGAGGTTCGATTAAATATCGTGCACTTCCAAAGCACAGTGTACCAAATATATAAAGTATACATTAAATGAAGAAAAAAATTTTCAAATTATCCGAGTTCTCTTCAACAATTCCGATTCCCCTCAAGAAAACAATAAAAGGTCCCATATAATTGACACTCAAAATTTAAAAAAGAAAACCGTACACCATTACCTACTGAATGCGCATAAGTACCCGAAACTCCTCAACGTAACTTTTTTTTCTCGAATTCGTCACGATTCCAACAATATATATATTGTTTTTGTCAAATTAAACCAGTGCCAAAGAGAGGATCGATTCGGTTCGATCGTCACAGAACCGTATAGCACAGGGTAACCGTGTTATTTCTTAGTGCGTGATTAGACTTTTTTATACGAAGGATACTTTTTCTCATTGTATGATTAAGTATTAGTTTTCGAGTCGATGGTGAGGTTACGGTATAAAGCGATTGAAAAAAAAAAAAAAAAAAATGGGGTGCCCGCGGCGGGACTCGAACACGAATTTATCTGGTCGCTATTGCTTAACCAGTACTACCTATCGACTCGCGGTAAGGAAAGGTGAGCCGGACAAGAAACGAGATAATCGCCCATAAGTTTTATCACGGGCGTCAACGCGCGTCTTACGCAATTATTTGTAAGCGCCATTTCGAAATAATATGCAACATGTCGCCGTGCTTGCGGCGGCATTTGCTTTTGCACGCGCGACTACAGTTCGTTACGTTTCCCGTATCAAGTATTTAAGAAGACTCGTGATGTTTCCTTGCGTACAATTGTAACACTGTGCGATCGTCAGAGTCGAAACATTCTCCCGTACCTTACGATACAATGATTCCTAATTAACATACGAATATACTACTCACCCGTATCTCATTGCACACATCCATCGGTTATTCACTCTTTATATAAATATCTGCTAAAATACACGGTTAGGCTTTTATACGTCACTATATGAGTAGTTCAATAGATTTATTCTTCAAACACAGTTTTCGGATGAACATGGTAATCCTTGATTTGCAAATCCTTTTTCTTTTCACATTTTTTTTGTTTTTACTGTTCCTCAAGATGGTCAATTTAGTAAAAGTTCTTCATGATAACCCTTTTTGCCTTTGACAGATCTTAGCTATAAAAATTTTTTAAAAATTGTTACAACGTGTCCTATAGCTTACAATTTTCTATACATTTTTTTCATCTACCTCTACATTGTGACTGCTTATGACTCTTGCTCCTGTCCATCCGAAGTGTATCGTTCGAGCGGCAATTGGCAAAAAGGAGCAATATTAGCCGTTTGCTGGACAGGACTGTACGGCAGTGGGAGGTACATATCCTACAGCGCTATAACTCCACAAACTAAGTTCGCCGCGAAATATAAAGTGGTCATTAGAAATTGATTTCAATGGTTTTTCCCAAACCTCGAGAAAACATACGGCGTGACGTTGGTTAACATTTAGTTTCAGCTCGCCACTTGCGCCAACAATCTTCAAATTTATCATCGAATAAATGATCTTGTAATATCAATTATTTACGTACTCGTTCGTACGTCACGCGGCTCCTATCATTGCCAACTGTGTTATACTCACTCTCTGTAATTATTGTGAAATGTATCGAACCACTGGCAGCACCTAACGCGATACAAGGGACCCGTGCAACACCTGCCGCGTTAACTTTTGTATCTAATAAAATAAAAGCACGTAGTACGTATCATCCGGGCAATGAACGTTGTACATACATACCTAACAGTCTACAGTACCTATATACATATATATAGCTAAATAGACTCCCAGCACAGAGGATAGAACGATCTAAAGAAAGATCCAAGTCTTGAAAAGCAGGTTCTTAGCCGGCACCACTATCTCCAGTACAATAGAATAGACTGTTAGCGATATTCATTCTAGTATAAGAAGGTTAGGTAGATTTTCATTTAACAATTTAAATGCCGCCTTAAAATCCATTAAACTTGGCAGATAACGATTGGTCGGTTATGAGGAGTCAAAAAATTCTAATCATCCGCTTCAATTTACGTTGTATGCTTAGTAATCCTAGCTGTCTTCTAATGTATCCAATCGGATGGGATATACCTAACCTCACATACGCATATATATATATGTATATAATATTCAATCAAAAGCGAAGGTGAAGCTGTCACACGTGGTGCGCGACTCTCTCTCTACCCGAGAGACTCAAGAAGAGACGCGGCCAGGGTAAGGAGAAGGCTAACATAAGAGACCCCCCACTTGGCAGTCGTGAGTCGCGGCGCGTGTCAACCTTGCCTTGTCCTTGAAACCACGCGACCGCGACGTATGCCAGGCGAGACCAGTCCGGTTCGTGGACTACTAAACTCCTGGTAGCTCGATTCCTTCTGCAGCGATTTAACACGTATGTATATATATTTTGTTCGTGTAGGAGTGAGGTTAGCGTTCTGCGAATCAGCTGATCCGTCCGGATCGACGATTGCTCGTTAGCACGAGTTTGGATCTTGTTAAGGATTTTCCACTGTGGAAACGGACGTCTCGTACGTCTGTTGTTTCTTTGGGTCGTTCCTTTGAGAAATGCCGATTCCGTAGTACTCTAAGCATCCTTTACACGGGTTATTGTTAATTTTGAATTACCTCAACGCTACCTTCTTAAGGAGAGTCTTTAATTGTCATTGGCTAGTTACTGGTTGTACATTTTTGGGGGGAATTTTGAAAATTTTAAAAATACCTCATTTTTGTCTATTTACCTTTTTTTTTTATTTCATTATATTTTCCCTAGCGTAGAGTGCACTTTAATCCCGGGGTAATAGCATACGCGACTCTTTCTTGGAACACTTGATGGGGTTGTTGGTCATTTCGGTGGGATGCAGAATTTTTTCGTGTAATTTGCATCTCTCTTATGCATTGCCGTAGGCGCGAGGTTGTCCCATGAAAAAAAAGGTATGCTTTAATTCAATTGCGAAGGTGACTGTAACAGTGGTTCGCAAGTATTTCTATATGACATAAGATTCAGTATGGTATATTATATGGCAATGGGAAAAATAGACTGTCGAAATTAAAGATTGAAATTTATTCGTAGTATGATTCAAGATCAAATACAAGTTAATACGGTCTATAAGCTAATTACTGCAACACGAAGTCAAAGTTTATCAAGGTTTAACGTAAAGATTTATACATAAAATATATTTACTACTATTCTCGTGTGATCCGCTGTTAGAAATAAAAATGAGTGCTACAGAGACGGAGTAAGGTCACGTTTCACAAATAACTGTCAACCGTGCAGCAGACGCGTGATAAATAGGCAACAAATAATTTGAGAAAACATTGAAAATTACAAAATATTTGCATAAATGGATAAATCCGTGATCCAAATTGACTTATAAATTTTTATAGAACCTTTATTTGGGTTCTATGTGCTAAATTCGCAGCGATGCGATAATAAGCAATTTGAGATATGTCATAGAAAGATTTCCGAGAGTTCTGCCGCTATCGCGATGAGAATTTTGTTTGCGAGTGTGACGTTACGTAACACGTGATAAAGCCTCTAAAGACGTATCTCCGTAAACACGAATTCCACGTCTGTCGTGTCCTCCATTGTGGATGAGATGCACGGTTGCAGAAATCCATCCCGTTGTCTAGAGTCACGGAGTCACGAAGTCTTGGGTAATTTGTCATTTGAAATAATTCGAAATTCCAAGTGCTGGGAGCTTTTCTTTGCCAGAAATTACATCGTGCAGGTATGCCGAGCTGCCTACGGGGAAAATCATTAGCGTAGCTTTGATATTCAGGTTTTCGTATGCAGACGTCAACACATTGAGAGAGAGAGAGAGAGAGAGAGAGAGAAAAAAAGTAATAAGGTAAAACCACTAAGAAAGAAAAAAAATCGAATTCGTTTATTTAATTTTCATAGACATTCTTACAATCGTATTGTATGAATAATTAAGATTCTTAATTATGAAAAAAAGTAATAAGGTAAAACCGGGGAAAATCATTAGCGTAGCTTTGATATTCAGGTTTTCGTATGCAGACGTCAACACATTGAGAGAGAGAGAGAGAGAGAGAGAGAGAGAAAAAAAGTAATAAGGTAAAACCACTAAGAAAGAAAAAAAATCGAATTCGTTTATTTAATTTTCATAGACATTCTTACAATCGTATTGTATGAATAATTAAGATTCTTAATTATGTCTGCGTTCATTTTTTTTCCGACGCTTGTAGGCGCCACTTGTTTATGCAATAGTCGGTTGCGATTATTTATCGCACTTACGATGCCAAACTTCAAAATCAGATTCGATTCGAGGACTTCGTATTATTGCGATTTCTCGTTAAGATCGGCAGGAGTTGCACGGTTAATTATAAGTTAGAAGGAACGATTATCTCCAGGAAAGTGATTAAGCGTAGAATAAATGTGACTGGAATATACGATTGGAAAAAACAGGATGGTCGCGCGATTAATCTAAAGTATCATTTCCATGGAACGACTCGAGACGGAATGACGATACTCAGGTGAAATGCAAGAGATGTTGGTATTATTTCTTGCACAAGATCTTCTTGATAGTTATATACTTACCTGTATATGTATATATATATATATAGAATCTATAGGTTGACTCGTATATGCACGTGATTGTGGAAATTAGCGTACAAGGCAAATAATTGCCTTGACATTAGCGAGAACGAACGGTGTACCATACTTAATCTTTTCATTGGTCCGTTTTATAACGCGGTAAATATTGTCGAACGTGAAATTACAAATTTCATTTTGCGAGAAGGTAAAAAAAGTATCCAAGTTTCACTTGGTCACGTCCGGGCGAATGATTTCCGAATGTAAGGAATATATGTATTTAAAGATCTGATTAAAATGGATGTTGTCGCTGTTGACGTTTGAATTTCGTATAACAATTATATGATAATACATCGACTGATCTATATTCATTTAAACATTTTTGAGGAAACAATAGTGTTCCATATGCTCGTTACTATGTCGGTGGATCCTAAAAATAGTTTGGGTATCGTAGTGACCGAGAAACTTTTGGTGTTCCTTGAGATTCCGGTAGGCGGCAGCAGGTTCTTGGGCATCTTGGTGTTCGGGGACTGTGTTGGACATCTGAGAAGTCCCTTTTGGGCCCTTGCATTTCAGGTATGCTTCCGGGCGAGGTGAGGATCGGTTTAAGGGGTGCTTGAGTTCAGGAATATTCCGCGTGGCGGCAGCACAGAGCTGGGTAGCTGCTCAGTTGCTTACAAGAGATGCACCGTGACTGATCTCACGGGTAGAAATTAGCATCCTGTTTGAGAATTGGATACCGCGTCTTGAAACATGGAGTTGACGTTGAAAAAATAAAAAAACAAATTTTTTTTCATAAAGTCGACCGATACGACTTTTTTCAAATTGTGGAAGGGATAAGAGTGAAATGTAAAAAACACATGATTTAAGTATTAATAAAGAGATCAGTATTTATTTGACACTCTTATAGTAGTAAGCGTGATTTTCTATCTTGACAATAGACAGGAATTATAAACTCAATCTTTTGCACTCATAAATATAAATAAAACATACTTTCGCACAGTTTTTCTTTCTCTCAAATTATTTTTCTCTCTCTCTCTTTGTCGAATAATTCTCGCTTTCTCACATTCACGTACTTAACAACTAGACTTACGAGATAGGTCGTATCGGAAATGAATTAAAAACGCATTTACGTTTCTATAGTCGCAACGTTGTGCACATTGCTTGGCGTTTTTACGTACAAGAAACAGAATGGAAGACGTCGGTGATTCTTGTTGCGTAAGGCACTTAAAATATATACTTATAGTTTTATATACAAGGGGATGGTATAGGAGGTAAATGGAAAGGTACGACAGGGATCTCAATAAAAATTTGGGACAAGGATAATTCTAAAAGAAATCGGTGTTTCGGTTAAAGAAAAAAGTAAAATGTACAATTAATGCTCGGAAATATCGAGGAATATGTGAAAGGCACTGTATAAGGCACTGCCTCATAGGCTACTGGCCACTGGTCATACAAACATCCTTCCCCAAAGAGAAAATAAAACGAAGAGGAAAAGAGCCGAAAACGTCGCGTCATTTCTGGACTCCTCAGTCATGGAAACTTCGTCCCGCATTGTCTCCGTGCCAGAAATAGTGGCGACGCTCAAGACAGTAAAAAGAAAAGAAAAAGAGTTCACACCAGGATTCCCTCCCGCAAATCGTCCTTCATTATTTTTCTTTTCTTTAGACTCCTAAGTTTCCTTTCTCCTTCGACCATTCCGTTCCTCCACTTCTTTGTTTCCTTTTACCACGGCCTCCAGGGCTTCTCCTCCACTTCGGGTACCACGCTCTTCCTCATGACCAGTGCCAGGGGTTTCTGAAGTGGTGGACTGTAGACACGGGGATCGAACTCCGGATCGCTGGTGTACCCATTGGCGGGGGATGTGGCGACGTCCCTGTGACTGGCACTGCCCGTGTACACCGGACTCTGCTCCCTGAAGGCGGCTGGTGGCGCTTCGAAGGCAACTGGACTTGCCGCGGAGGTGGAGGTGGATGACGTGGACGAGGACGAGGAAGATGCCGATGCGGTACTGGCCGTTCTCTGGGGGATTGGAATGAGAGTTGGTAGAGGGGATGTTGGTGCTGGCGATGAGGAGGGTGAAGCCACTGGTGTTGCTTTGGCACCAGCCGGTAGGACAAGGGCGATGTCGCCATTAGGCAACCTCGTAGGAACCAGTTGAAGTCCTGTGCCGTTTGCGTTCGTGAAGAAGATCCCGTTCGACTGTTGCACCTGGATTCTTGGTGTGGCGTCCACCTGGGGTAGTATATGCACTTGGAGCTGAGTCGTGGGTGGTGCTGGTTGCACTGGCTGTTGACCAGACTGTGCCCCGGAGTTGTTCTCTACCGGTCCAAGGCAGGATGCCAAGTGGGCCATCAGACGACGCTTCACTGACGCCTCCAATCCGGGAAACCTGCCAACCTCACCGGCGCACTCCGTGAATCCGGCGCGGAATTTATTCAGAACGTTCGGGTCGGTTGCCGCGGCCAGCGCGACCTGTTGACGCTGTAGGGTCTCGAGATGCTTCACGGTCATTTCGAGGATGTCGGCCTTCTCGAGTTTGGAATGTCTTGCTGGCTGTAACATTAAGATAAGAGGATACGGTTAGCTCGGGTCGTTCAGTTTTGCACTCGAACAGAATGCACTTTCATGCACTCGACTTGTTAATGTTTAGCAAGAATGTTGCGAATTCGGCATAAATTCTTATCTCGTATTCGCGTTCACATTTTGTTTTGATTGGCAGCAATGCCATTAGCGTTCAGTAAGTTACGTATGTTAGATAAAATACTTACGTCTTTTTTCATTGCGTCCAAGATCAGGGTTTTCAGGTCATTCAGGCAGTTATTGATACGGGCGCGACGCCTTTTTTCCATTATAGGCTTATTGCTCTGTAATCAGAAAGAAAAGTGACAGGTTAGTCGGGGTTGCTTTTCGTGAAGTCTGCAAAGTGATATGGGATGTTCATATACATAGATAGGTGCTACTACAATAATAAAGTTTCTTTTTTTTTTCAATTTTATCTAAAATTCACCATGGTCAAATATAGTAGTCATGTAACAGTATATGGCGAAATTTTTTTTTCAAAATCTCGTAAGAAACCCGACTGAAGATAAATATAGAATTTTTATCTAAAGTTTAACAATAAATAAAATATTGCTCTACGTAAGCACGTACTGTTGATAAAGAATAATTTACGACTACAAACAACTTCATGATAAAAAAATTCTATAAGATTGTACAACGTATACGCCGATAAAATATATATATGAAACCATAAAATCGATTTATAAAAATAATATCATACAAAATTTACTGTATCTAAATTTAATTATTTCATTTCATATAAATCAATTCTTTAATTTCCTCTCAGCGAAGCTACACCGTATTCCGCTCAGAGTCTAAGTGTCGAAATTCGATGTGATCTCAATAATTAAAATTCAACTGAGTTCAACAATTTTGGAGTGAAACAATTTTTGCTCGTTACAAAAATCATGAAAAATCTTCACACAATCTCAACAGTGTAAAAGTGCATTACGCATATGCCGATCTGCCTAAATTATCCCCATCAGATTCGACTACCCTATCATCTCAATATACAGCACATTTAATGAACCCAATAAAATATCGGGTCTTCAGGTGAAGACACTAACCCGTCGATTTTCCCCAGATCTTCTCGTAGTATTCGTAGCTGTCTGTGCCGGGGGCTGTCCAGCCTCCTGGGGCACGTGTTGTGCAGGTGGTGTTGAGCCGACCGTGACACCGCCAGTCGGCATCGTAGCACCCACCCCGGTCACCATTATAATTTCTTACTAGTCACAAAATTCAAGGGATATCTTGAATTCACTGGATAAATCACAACACAGGTAATCCAAGTATATCTATGCACTGGCTGCACTGCTGATACTCTTCTTAATAATCCCAAGTGATGTATTTAATACTTGTTACAATTTAATATATTATATCTATATGGTAGTTATAATATATTTGACCCGGTCTATATAATATGCATCGGGTATAATATTCAAAAAGGAGTTAAACGTGTCTCTTGATAAGTTCTTGTGAATTTTCTAACGAAAGATCGCAAACTCGACCTCTCGCCAGGCGCGTCAGTGCTCGACTGATTCGGTGAGTTCGGAAGCTTTTCTATCTCCTCACTGAAGTGTGGCCAGCGATGGAATGCTCTATGCCAATGCTGGTGGAGGTGGTAAAGATCACTGGAGGGGGAAGCCCCATGCAGTGGGGGAAACGCGTGACGGTTTACCATGGTCTTATCCCCACCACGAAATTCCGATAGTCAGGCTGCCGTCGCTTCTCCCACTACCGGAATGCTACCCCACCATTGGGACTCATAGGCCCACGGTCGAGCGGACCCCCGTGGGCCTTGCGACTTGCGTGTCTGCCTTTAATTGAAGGGTTTAGAGCAGGAAGCCTCTCTAAATCCTCTTGGGCACGTTGCTGTTACTTATTGATCTGCGCTCCACCAAATTTTTATATAACGCTACAGCTTTGATACATTTGTCCTCACGACTTGTACCTAAATAAATGGGACTTGTAAGATCCTGCTTTTTTTAAATTTTACGTTAAAATAGAAAATTGGAAGTGATTGTTAGATTTCTTAGTTATTCGAGTAACTAACTGTTTTAGGTACAAGATCATAATAATGAACTTTGTACAATAGTGATAACGTCGGACGGTAATTGTCAAGATCGAAGTGAATGCTTAGCTGAATATCATGTCGAGGACACGGGGACTCCCCATAACGTAAGCATTGACATACGTATTTAATAGCGGGCAGCGACCGACGTTTTTTCCACTTATTAATTATCTCCTTCGTAAGAACTGCTTATGAAAAAGTCATTAGAATCGACCGCATTTATTCGTGATCGAATTCGTTAATGGCGGTTTAGCAATCATTTGAATATCAGTCCATTGGTTGGTTACCGTATGCTTGCTCACGTATACACATTTACGTCATAGGGTTATGTGACGTGCGTCTAAAATTGTCAAGTAGCCCCAGACTATTTTATATAGACTCTGCCTCGAAACACGTGCCTAGGACTGCTTACTTGTTTTTTTATCACTCAACACTACAGCATGTTTCTCACATCGTATCCCTACCATACCCTATGCACTATCCAGAAGTAACCTGTGTAGAGCATAACCAAGTAAAATGACTATATAAAATTTTAACAATAAAAAAAAATGTTTTCCAAAATCGCCTGAAGTGTCGAAAAAAAAAAGTTTTGTCAAATTTGCCTAGTACATTTTTGAGTAAAATTTTGAACCGATGCATTTCCGAAAAATATTGAAGTTTCAGGCTTTCGTAGAAGGTGCCAGATGCACTGTCTTCTCTCAAGAGAGAAGGATACACACTCAGCCTTAAAAAGGTACGGAAAGGAGTATTTGGATATGTGTATGAGTGCGTTCCCAAGAAACGAAACGACGCGCGACACAGAACGCGGCGCAGGAGCGATACAGAAATGTTACAGCCAATGACAGTAGTGGGATTCGACTCGGCGCGCGACAGACGATTCCCTATTGGCTGAGAGTCTTCCCCCACTACTCAACTACCAGAGAGCCGAGCGTGCCGCACGCGGTGCGTACGTGGGTGGTGGGGCGAAATCGTCATTCGACTTCTAGCGTCTGACCGTTCTGTCTGTCCGGCGAGGGAACGGCGCGTGGGACGGCGAGCTTGAGACTTCAGACGGTTTCGGACTCCACAGGGAGTGGGGATTCTACGATATACGCTACGGTGGTAGAGAGGCGGAGGGGAAGGCTGGCTAAGGTGGTGGCTAGTACACGGAACTACCTGTTGGGCTCAGCTGAATTTATTTAGACCTGAATCACGTGCGCGAAAGGCACTGCGCCTATGCGTCATTGGAATTTTTTGTAAAAAAATTCCACTTACGCACGTGTCGCCGTTTCACCTTAATTTTTACTCCAAAATTATCCACGAGTATTAGTGGAGGTAAATTGGATTTTCTTAAAAGAATTCCAAGGAATCGGCTAAAAATATATAATTATCTCTAAACGAAATCTCGACAATTACCACAGTCTAGACGGTATTGATAATGTACAGATAAGAATTTTTATCGATAAGAATTTTTATCGATAAGAATTTTTATCGATAGAGTTAATCTTGTCGATTATATTTCATATAAGTTATTCGTCTGACTTGGAATTTGCAATTGCAATACGTTAGTCATATAGAATAATAATTTCAAGCACTTTGTGCACGTGGACACCTATCTATCGCTAGAGCTCCGAGAGGCACAGCAATGGTATTCTTTGAAGGCACTAGGGAACTCCCGATGGTGCTTGGTGCACTGGTACTGTGCTACCATCTGGCGGATGCACGCCGAACGTCTCTCGTTTAGAGGCGATACGGGAGATACTCTGCTGCAGCATCGACCACCACAGCATCCGAAGGAAAGATTCGAGAGGGATCGACACTTGGCGAACGAGTCACTGATGCTTCTACTGATCGATAGATGCTCGGAGAACGTGACTCGTTCAGTATTAATCTACCAGATAGAAAGGAAAGTCCTTGGTCGGGCACGTGTCGCAATCTTTAACAACATCCATGCTTTGTGTACGGTGATCGAACTGCAAATATTATCTATAGACATTTGTCTTATCAGGTTCTAATAAATCTCATTTTGATGACAGACACATGTCCTCTGATATATGGAAAATTTTAGTTATATATTTAAACGTTTAGAAGTTCTTTTTATACAAATGATAAAAATAATAATAACGTAGACAATTTCATTTCGATCGCTCCTTAGTTATGTATATTATTAAATTATTATTTTTTTTTTGAATTTTTTTTAAATAATCCATGGAAAATGAATTTTTAAGAATTATCTTTCACGATAGTCACTTGATGTATGGTAATGCTAATTTTTGGAAATTAATAAAAATTTATTGATTGTTCATATTTTATATTTGGATATTGTTTATGAGTATTTTTAGTGGCAGATTTTTTTATACTGTTTTATATACTACAAGCATAGGCATGCATATGTGGCACGCGTGCTCACGCTCCATTTATACGGGGTATCTCGGTAGTCCGTGCTGCCACCTGTTGCTGGGACCTATGGGCCCCATGAACCCATGACTCATTAGCTTTATGGGGTGCCAGGCATTACGTACGACGCGGCTGGTGGCCGGATAAAAGCCAGTGAGCGGCACTGGCCCAGACTTCTGCCTGCAGCCAACCGTGTACATTAATATTCGCTCGAGTTCTCTTCAGATATCAGATTAGACTTTGAGTTTTGTACCTTTATTACACGTTGCGTTGAAATAAAAGAGCATTCGGAGGGTCTGCGCAATATGGAGGCTCAAGATAAATTTTTATAGCACGTAGCATTGTACTGGCGTGGAGTTCGAACGATTTTTTAAAAGGACGGAACATTCTTTTCTTCCTTTTCAAGTCCCGATAAAATCGCTCGAGTATTTTACGAATGTCGCACCTTTGAGATCGTTTCGTGTTGGAATAGATGAAAATCGTTGAAATACGAGCAGTACCGTCATCGTCGAGTGCTGAAAGATATATGTCTAGGAGATTGTATTTTTCTGGAAGACCAGATTTTTTGTCACTTTTTTAAAAATTTTTTATACCGCTACGTAAGGTAAGTACTTTTCTACTGGCAGTCACGCTATGATTGTGTTTAGCATTTGTAAATGAAGTGGTTGAGCCATATTTTTACGTTTTTCGTAAACACCAAGCCTGTTTAAAATAAATCTGCAGGTAAGCCAGAAACGTAATAACTCAAAATTTTTTTGAGTAGAAAAAATTCGGGATTCCTTGACAGTTATCGAGAACCCTGAGTAAAAAACACGTTTACGCATGGGCATACTTTCAAAAAATTCTTGCTCGGTCGAATAAAAAAAATTTTTAAGTATGTAAAAAAATGTATAAAAAATCTACCGTCTGTCCTTTTTCGCAAAAGATGGCTGCACCTAATTGGACGCTGTTAACCCTTCGAGGGTTACTGACCGTTCAATAGACAGTGGGGAGGATTTTCAACTTGTAACCCTTTCCAATTCGTATGTCCGCAACCCTTTACCTGCTACTATAGAGAACTTCATTGTTCTATCCCTTTCGTTATACTTTGCCACTTTCTGTGTAAATGCTTCGAGATTTATTATGGCGGCATGAATTTGATATGCGCTACTGTTTAATTCTTATACAAAAGCTATAGTACAATAGTTTTGACTTTCGAAACTGGTTAAATTGCCAAGAACGAAAAATGTGCAACAAATGAAAGTTTTGTATATGAATGTACTATTGAACGGTAAATGGACTTTATACGTATTGGGCAAACAGCAAACCATTTATTCTGTTGAATTTATAGTTGATACATATTAGAAATCAATTATTTAATAGCTAACTAGACGTTTTTAATAATTATAATTTGTTGTTAACATTGTAAACATTTGTTTTGTTCAAATTAATTCCGTCTAGAATTTCGCAGATTTATTGCTATTTCATTTGTCACCATGGGGTTTATCCTGGCCAGAGTAATCATTACTGGTGGAGGATTAGTGAAAGGGTTGAAACCTAGGGAAAAGGGTTCAGCCTGGGAAAAGGGTTATAGGCGCGTGGCGAAATTCTTGGTTGGAATAATTATGTGCAATAATTTCAGCAGGTCACCGCTTATTGCGGAGGAATTGTCAAAAACTATTGTATCAATTTTTGCGATGCTTTGTTTCGAAATTTTTATATATTTTTTGCATAATATTATTGTATTTTTTATTTCGTTTAAAAATGAATTTTTCGCGTATAAAGGTTAAGTTATTTAGCCCATTTGTTTATATTTAATTGATAGTTTTCGTATGCAACGTAATTTTTTTAATGTTGCAAAAATATTGCACTGACGAAATTGGCAATAGGAGACCTTGAAACTTTCCAAAAGTAAATACCATTACTATCGAAGGTATTGGGAATAGTTTGCTAAATATTGCTTGCAGAAAGTAACGGGGGTCGCTCGATGTCTTAAACTGCACGAGGAGCTTACCTCTTTAATTAGGGTTAAATCGTAAAACGCAGACGAGTACCGACCTTGGCAAATCCTTAAGCCTTTGCGAAAGGGAAAATTTGCAAATGGCGGTTGTAAATTTGATGGATTACGGTGGCCTTCAG